AGGTCCGACGCGATACATTCGCCCAAAAACGTGGTCCAATACGTGGAGCCAACACGACACGTATTGACACGGACGTTTTGAGCACGGCACGCGCTGCGTACCAAAACGGGCGTGTCGAGGCAGCTAGGGTCACTGCTCGTTCCCCGATCGGGGATCTTTTGACCCGGGTCAATCCAGACCCGGGTCGGCAGAAAACTACAGCTGCAGTGCAAGGAAAAACCACTGCAGCGCAGGTCTCCGCACATCCGGCGCCCTGGCTGACCCCCGTCTGCACTGACCCCCGTCTCGAGGCTCCCGACCCGAGCCTCCTGCCCCGGTCCCGGGCCCGCCCGAAGACCTCCCTCGCCGTGCATGGGCCGGGTGTTGCTAGAAGTGCCCCTGGCCCAGGGTGCCCCCAGCCTCTCGATCCACTCAGGAGCCCCTGGGGCCCTCTGGGGCTCGCGAGGGGTGCCCTGGAGGCCTCCTGGGCCCCCCCAAGAATCCTGGGGGCACCCTGGGCCAGGGGCACTTCTAGCAACACCCGAATGGGGGGAGGAGGAGGAGGAGGAGGAGGAGGTTTTTCCCGCGAGCACAGCGTGGGCGAGCACCTCGCGTCCACCTGCGTCAGGCCAGGTCAGTCCTCCGCGCCGCCAGAGGCGGCGGAGGAAATTAGTGCCTCCACGCCACTTCCCGCGGCGGAGGCCCTGGCAGCAATCCCAATCGACTCCAGAAACTCCAATTCCTGGGTTCTGGACAGCGCGACCACCTCTCCAGGCAGCCTGTCATTCTTATAAGGATGCTTACCTGCCAGCAAACGATTACGTCGAGTCTTGGCGTTGTGGTACCTCGGGTCCTTAGGACAACCTGTAAGTAACCCACAAGCCCTGGCGCTCAAAAAGGCGCCGCACTCTCGACAGAAGGTGTAGTGGCCAATTCGAGACAGCTTGTGTCGCCTTGGCCCTTCCAAAGGAGCCCCGTCGACACGCGCTATCTTCTTCCACTTGGCGTGCGAGGAGAAACCCTTCCTGCAAAACTTACGCGACAGCACCAGCTTGGCCTTATAGCTGTGGGCCCGTCTGGCACAACAAGCACACCTCCAGGACCCCCTGTCCCACTCCAGGACGTGCCGAGACTCGGGAGGAGGTAAAACCGAACGGCGCGGCCGAGGGCCAGGGGGCTGGGAGGCGTTCTGGAGACGGCCTGTGGTGTCATCAAATGTGCCTATCTTACAGGTCATATCTCCGACAAGCCCGAGGACAGCACAAACCTCCTTAAATCTGGCCACCCACGTGTCTCTGATATGAGGCGGGATGGCGTCTAGCTTGGCGCCCTCCTTCGCTTGAAGGTCGGCGCGCTGATTCCCTAGGTAGTTGCACAGCTCGAGTCCCTCGAGCTGCTGGGCCTGGGCCTTCTTGGAATGCGCTTTGACTTTGACGACGACGAGGTCCCCCTCACCGACGAACGAATCTTCAATCGCATTCCAAATCATATGCCATAAATCGGCATGCGGTCGTCTGGCTTGGCGGCACCAAACTGGGCCTCGCCTGAAGCCCCGAACGACGGTAGAATTGTCGATCCCCACCTGTAGAGGGGCAGCGCCGTGCCGCAGAACATTCAGGAAACCGTGCAATTCTGCTCTAAGCACACTTTGTGCCTGCCTAACTCCTGGAACCGTGCCATGCATTGCTTTGCGTATATTTCCATGCTGGTCGACAAAACAGAGGCCCCATCCGAACGCCTTCAACCCAGAAGCCCCGACCCCCGACCCATCCGAGTAGGCCAGTCCTGAGAGAAGGGGATCGTCCCCGTACTCTGGGTCCAGGGTCTCCACGCTGGGCGTGACGTCCAGGAAGGGATCCCCCAGTGGGTGAGGCACGAGAGCCCTGGAAAAGAGACGGGAAGAGGAGCACGAGGAGGAGGCGCGGTGGATGATATCAGGATAGGATTCACCTGCAGCCTGGCGCTGCTCCTGAAACGCTGGGCACCCATGGGTGCCCCAAACGTCAAACCACTCTTGCGCGGCCCTGTCGGCCGCTTCCTGAGGATCAGCAAGCTCGAGGTTGGAGACAGAGTAACCCGTAACGGGGAGAGGAGGAGTACGCCACTTGCTGATCCTGTGGATGAAGTAAGAGCCTGCAGTCGACTCCTTCTTCAAACGTTCTCGCCATTCTTTTGACCGTGCGGCTGCCTGCTGCCGTTCGATGGTCTGAGCATTGGCTACTGCACGACGCTGGAGACCCATGATCTCTGGGGCCTGCTCCATGAGCGCTGGGCCCTCGAGACAAAAGGCGCGGTATCGTTCAAACTGGGCGATTACGTGCTCAGCCTCCTCCCCCAGGTCATGAACCAGCCGACTCCTTCCTCCTCCGATGCGGCGCTCGAGCTTTGCTCGTCGCGCACGTGCATGCATCCAGGTGCCCTCCTGCTGGGCAGCTTGTGCGAGGAAAATGAAATCACCGGCTCGTGCGGCTACCCACCGCCATGCTTCAGCACAGTGTGAGACCTGCTTCCAGAGCTGATCAAGCTGGGTGCCATTTAAATCGTCCTGATGATCGAAGTCCGGCCACTGTGCAGGCTGCGGGACTGGTCCGCACGGCCTCTCCATTGGGAAAGGTCTGGGCTTGGCAAGCCTCCAGCCGCCTTTTGCTCGCATCCTGGACTGCATGACTAGACGGATTGGCGAGTGAGGCGCGGCTGCAGTGTCTAATACTTCTACCGCGTCACCGAACGCATGCTGGATGCGGGCGTCGAGCACAAAGAAATCGATGATACTGCCACCGCCGACTCCTGCACACGTGGTAGTGGAGGGGAGACGAACCACTCCTCCCACATCTTGGCACCAGCCCGTCTTGAGCCGAGACCCCCCCGTCTCGTTGAAATCTGCTTGGAATATCCACGGTATGTCATACTGCTTGATGACCGTGGCGATGGCCTCCAGAATTGACAAATTTTGAATCGTCCAACCTCCACGTGTCCAAAAATATGCCGTGATAATCATGAGGCCACCCTTCTGTCCAGCAGAGCACCAGCCCACTGCCGCGCGCCCAGCCGAGCCAGGAGGTGAGATATCAAACGTATTCATGCCTTCGAGGTACGTAAGACCAACATTCCTTGGCACAAGAAATCCAACTCCACTAGACGGTCGCCCGCCTGGGCCGCTGACGGCTGGAACCAATGCTGCTGTATAGTGCCTGTTGAAGCTGGCCGCCTCTATGTCCTTGGCGATGGGCGCACTCAACTTATGCTCCTGAAGGAACGTGATGTGCATGGGGCCCACGATCTTCCTTGTGGCGACCTCATCCAGCACATCGATAGCCTGCGCCCAAGAAGAACAGTTGAAGCCTATGAACTCGAGCCCCACATTGCGAGTGCCGCCCTTGCCTCGACGACGCGGGGGGCTCATCTTCGGTGAACTTGACCATGTAGAGAGAGATGTACTGGATGTTGCGTCAGGAGGAGACCCTCTGCCGTGGTCTGACTCCTGCGATGTGCTAGACTCCTGCCATGGGCCCGACCATGTAGAGCATTGAGTACTGGTACCTGTGGCCGTGGAGGCCGAGCTGCCGAGCCCGCGCGGACTAAAGCGGCACTGGCTTGGCCACTGCCTCCGCCCTGCGAGCCCTGGCGCGCTGCAAGGCCTCCGCCAGCTCCTTGCCAGCGGCTTCGCGACCAGCGTCAGGGCCAACATCAGCGCTGGCAGCGCCTGGCGAAGCGCCCTGGGCGCCCTGCGCCTCCGCGGCGGGCTGGGCGGCCTGCTGGGCCTCCTGGGAGGACTGGGCTGGCGCCTGCGGCGGGCCTCCCTCGGGGCTCTGGGCCGCTGACGCCTCCGCAGCCGCCGCCTCCGCAGGAGGGTCCTCGCGCTTGGCCTGGGCAGGCGCCTGCGACGGGCTCCCCTCGGGGGTCTGGGGCGCGGGCGCCTCTGCAGCCGCCGCCGCCGCAGGGGGGTCCTCACGCCTGCGCTTCTTGAAGGTCTCGCGGAGCACCCTGATCTCTTCAAGCTGCTCGCGCTGGGACTTGAGGACGTCGGCCCCTGGCCCGAAGTGCGTGCGGACCGCCTGCTGCACCGACGCCTCGAAGGTCTGCTTGAGCTTGTTGAACTGCTCCCGCTGCTCGGCCGCGATGTCCAACCCCTCAAGGTCGAAGAGGGGGCCGTCCTCGATGACGAAGCTGGCCTCGCCTTCGCCCAGCAGGGCAGAGAGGTTGATGACCCCGCCGCCCTTGTTGGTCCCCTCGGGCTGGGAGTCCTTGCCTGGAGCCGCCAAAGCCTTCTTC